TGGAAGTTGGATTGCAGACACTGTGAATCAGAGCCGTTTGGATCATTTTTATGTTGCATTAGTGGTCATGAGCGTAGCCAATCTGTTAATCTTTGCATATGTTGCTAGGTTCTACAGTTACCGTGATTTTCCAGAAGAGAAAGATGATGACGAAGAAGAAGATCCACATAAAGTAATTAAAACTGGAAAGAAGCAAGACAAGATGGAACCCACACCTGATGAAGAAACTGAAAGAACAATAATAACTAGGGCTGTGCGAAATGTCACTCAATTCATTGAAAGGGAATTGATCCGTAGCAATTCACACCGTTCTAACCACTATCCGCGTAAACTGTAAAATTTATAATCCGCCAACTGAACCGCACTATTCCGTTATAGTTAATATATATATATATTTTATATCCTCTAATGAAATATCAATGTAAAAATAACTGACGACGAGACAAGAAGAAGAATGAAGATCGAACTGGAAGAAGAATAAAAATCGAAAAAGAGCAGCGCGTACCTTAATGTGGGAAGACGAGACACGAGTGACGAGTGACGATCGACGAGGAACGACGACGACGAGAAGCGAAGACGAACGACGAACGACGAATCGATCCGGTCACTCTTTCTCACCCTTTCTCTTATGTCTCTGTTCTAATCAAAGTAGATTATGGCAGATATTGATCTATTTTCACTTATTTACAAATCGACCCCAATTTTTTTTTTGTAATTTCTGAAATTACCCCCGAACGTTTCCCGAAACTTTCTATAACGTGTCATGAACGTGTCCGGATGTAAAAAAAATAAGAATAAAAATAGGACAGTCTCTGGTGCGTGTCGGACACGTGCTCTCCGCGTGTCCGACGCGTGTCCGTGTCCAACACGTGTGTAACACTGGTACGGAGCCCACAGAGAGGTGGTCGTGCTTCATAGTGTGCTGTGCAACCTCTGTATAGGATAGTATTTGAACGACGAATAGAGCGAATGAATGGGAGATACTCAGCTGGAATGAAGGTTGGTTTAGGAATGCTTGCCGCTTTGGCTTGTTGTAATGTTGTTTGGTGGGTGGAGTATAAAAGGCTAAAAGATTTGAAGGAACACGACTTGTTAGGTAATCCCGATGGCATTGCACCAATATCTGTATTTTGGCCCTCACCACACTTTGTACTGATCGGAATCATGGACGGATTAGCTCTTTATGGTATTGAGGGTTTTTTTAAGTATCAGGTTCCAGAGTCAGTAAGGAAGAGGTATGCACTCGTACTCACTGAAGCTGTGATTGGATGGGGAAAAATAGTGAACATAGGGTTTATTATGATATTAGACGTGGTGGTCATGAAGTTGAGAGCTGAAGATGGAAGTTGGATTGCAGACACTATGAATCAGAGCCATTTGGATCTTTTTTATGCTGCGGTAGTGGTCGTGAGCATAGCCAATCTATTAATCTTTGCATATGTTACTAGGTTCTACAGTTATCGTGATTTTCCAGAAGAGGAAAATGACGACGAAGAAGGAGATCCAAATAAAGAAATTAAAACTGGAAAGAAGCAAGACAAGATGGAACCCACACCTGATGAAGAAACTGAAAGAACAATAAGAACTAGGGCTGTGCAAAATGTAACTCAATTCAGTGAAATCGAATTGATCCGTAGCAATTTACACCATTCTAACCGCTATCGCGTAAACTATAAAATTTATAATCTGCCAACTAAACCGCTCTATTCCGCTATAGTTAATACATATATATTTTTTAACCGCTAATGAAATATAAATGTAAAAATAAGTGACGACGAGACAAGAAGAAGAATGAAGATCGAACAAGAAGAAGAATAAATATTGAAGAAGAGCAGCGCGTACCTTAATGAGGGACGATGAGACACGACTGACGATCGACGAGGAACGACGACCGACGAGAAGCGAATACGAACGACGAACGACGAATCGACCCGATCCTCTCTTTCTCACCCTTTCTCTTCTGTTCCTGTTCTAATCGAAGTAGATTAGGGCAGATATTGATCTATTTTTACTTATTTACAAATCAACCCCAATTTTTTTTTTGTAATTTCTGAAATTACCCCCGAACGTGTCCCGAAAGTTTCTATAACGTGTCCGGAACGTGTCCGGATGTAAAAAAAATAAGAATAAAAATGGAACACTATCTGGTGCGGGTCGGACACGTGCTCTCCGCGTGTCTGACGCGTGTCCGTGTCCGACACGTGTCTAACACTGGTACGGAGCCCTCGGAGGGGTGGTCGTGCTTCATAGTGTGCAGTGCAACCTCTGTATAGGATAGTATTTGAACGACGAATAGAGCGAATGAATGGGAGATACTCAGTTGGAATGAAGGTTGGTTTAGGAATGCTTGCCGCTTTGGCTTGTTGTAATGTTGCTTGGTGGGTGGAGTATAAAAGGCTAAAAGATTTGAAAGAACACGACTTGTTAGGTAATCCCGATGCCATTGCACCAATATCTGTATTTTGGCTCTCACCACACTTTGTACTGATGGGAATCATGGACGGATTAGCTCTTTATGGTATTGAGGGTTTTTTTAAGTATCAGCTTCCAGAGTCAATAAGGAAGAGGTATGCAATCGTACTCACTGAAGCTATGATTGGATGGGGAAAAATAGTGAACATAGGGTTTATTATGATATTAGACGTGGTGGTCATGAAGTTGAGAGCTGAAAATGGACGTTGGATTGCAGACACTGTGAATCAGAGCCGTTTGGATCTTTTTTATGCTGCGTTAGTGGTCGTGAGCATAGCCAATCTATTAATCTTTGCATATGTTGGTTGGTTCTACAGTTATCGTGATTTTCCAGAAGAGGAAGATGACGACGAAGAAGAAGATCCAAATAAAGAAATTAAAACCGGAAAGAAGCAAGACAAGATGGAACCCACACCTGATGAAGAAACTGAAAGAACAATAAGAACAAGGGCTGTGCAAAATGTAACTCAATTCAGTGAAATCAAATTGATCCGTAGCAATTGACACCGTTCTAGCCACTATCCTCGTAAACTTTAAAATTTATAATCCGCCAACTAAACAGCTCCATTCCGCCATAGTTAATACATATATATTTTTTAACCACTAATGAAATATCAATGTAAAAATAAGTGACGACGAGGCAAGAAGAAGAATGAAGATCGAACAAGAAAAAGGATGAAGATCGAAGAAGAGCAACGCGTACCTTAATGAGGGACGACGAGACACGAGTGACGAGTGACGATCGACGAGGAATGACGACCGACGAGAACCGAAGACGACCGACGAGAACCGAAGACGAACGACGAACGGAGAATCGACCCGATCCCCTCTTTCTCACCCTTTCTCTTCTGTTTCTGTTCTAATCGAAATAGATTAGGGCAGATATTGATCTATTTTTACTTATTTACAAATCAAGCCCAAATCTTTTTTTGTAATTTCTGAAATTACCCCTGAACGTTTCCAGAAAGTTTCTATAACGTGTCCTGAACGTGTCCGGATGTAAAAAAAATAAGAATAAAAATGGGACACTCTCTGGTGCGTGTCAGACACGTGCTCTCCGCGTGTCTGATGCGTGTCCATGTCCGACACGTGTCTAACACTGGTACGGAGCCCTCGGAGAGGTGGCCGTGCTTCATAGTGTGCAGTGCAACCTCTGTATAGGATAGTATTTGAACGACGAATAGAGCGAATCAATTGGAGATCCTCAGCTGGAATGAAGGTTTGTTAAGAAATGCTTGCCGCTTTGGCTTGTTGTAATGTTGCTTTGTGGGTGGAGTATAAAGGGCTAAAAAATTTGAAAGAACACGACTTGTTAGGTAATCCCGATGCCATCACACCAATATCCGTATTTTGGCTCTCACCACAGTTTGTACTGATGGGAATCATGGACGGATTAGCTCTTTATGGTATTGAGGATTTTTTTAAGTAGCCGGTTCTAGAGTCAATAAGGAAGAGGTATGCACTCGTACTCACTGAAGCTGTGATTGGATGGGGAAAAATAGTGAACATAGGGTTTATTATGATATTAGACGTGGTGGTCATGAAGTTAAGAGCTGAAGATGGAAGTTGGATTGCAGACACTGTGAATCAGAGTCGTTTGGATCTTTTTTATGCTGCATTAGTGGTCGTGAGCATAGCCAATCTGTTAATTTTGCATATGTTGCTAGGTTCTACAGTTACCGTGATTTTCCAGAAGAGAAAGATGACGACGAAGAAGAATATCCAAATAAAGAAATTAAAACTGGAAAGAAGCAAGACAAGACGGAACCCACACCTGATGAAGAAATTGAAAGAACAATAAGAGCTAGGGCTGTGTAAAATGTAACTCAATTCAGTGAAATTAAATTGATCCGTCGCAATTCACACCGTTCTAACCACTATCCGCATAAACTTTAAAATTTATAATCTACCAACTAAACCGCTCCATTCCGCTATAGTTAATACATATATATTTTGTAACCTCTAATGAAATATCAATGTAAAAATAAGTGACGACGAGACATGAAGAAGAATGAAGATCGAACAAGAAGAAGAATGAAGATCGAAGAAGAGCAGCGCGTACCTTAATGATGGACGACGAGACACGAGTGATGAGTGACGATCGACGAGGAACGACGACCGACGAGAAGCGAAAACGAACGATGAACGACGAATCGATCCAGTCCTCTCTTTCTCACCCTTTCTCTTCTGTTTCTGTTCTAATCGAAGTAGATTACGGCAGATATTGATCTATTTTTACTTATTTACAAATCGACGCCAAATTTTTTTTTGTAATTTCTGAAATTACCCCCGAACGTGTCCCGAAAGTTTCTATAACGTGTCCTGAACGTGTCCGGATGTTAAAAAAATAAGAATAAAAATGGGACACTCTCTGGTGCGTGTCGGACACGTGCTCTCCGCGTGTCCGACGCGGGTCCGTGTCCGACACGTGTCTAACACTGGTACGGAGCCCACAGATAGGTGGTCGTGCTTCATAGTGTGCAGTGCAACCTCTGTATAGGATAGTATTTGAACGACGAATAGAGCGAATGAATGGGAGATACACAGCTGGAATGAAGGTTGGTTTAGGAATGCTTGCCGCTTTGGCTTGTTGTAATGTTGCTTGGTGGGTGGAGTGTAAAAGGCAAAAAGATTTGAAAGAACACGACTTGTTAGGTAATCCTGATGCCATTGCACCAATATCTGTATTTTGGCTCTCACCACACTTTGTACTGATGGGAATCTTGGACGGATTAGCTCTTTATGGTATTGAGGGGTTTTTTAAGTATCAGTTTCCAGAGTCAATAAGGAAGAGGTATGCACTCGTACTCACTGAAGCTGTGATTGGATGGGGAAAACTAGTGAACATAGGGTTTATTATGATATTCGACGTGGTGGTCATGAAGTTGAGAGCTGAAGATGGAAGTTGGATTGCAGACACTGTGAATCAGAGCCGTTTGGATCATTTTTATGCTGCGTTAGTGATCGTGAGCATAGCCAATCTATTAATCTTTGCATATGTTGCTAGGTTCTACAGTTATCGTGATTTTCCAGAAGAGGAAGATGACGACGAAGAAGAAGATCCAAATAAAGAAATTAAAACTGGAAACAAGCAAGACAAGATGGAACCCACACCTGATGAAGAAACTAAAAGAACAATAACAACTAGGGCTGTGCAAAATGTAACTCAATTCAGTGAAATCGAATTGATCCGTAGCAATTCACATCGTTCTAGCCACTATCCGCGTAAACTTTAAAATTTATAATCTGCCAACTAAACCGCTCTATTCCGCTATAGTTAACACATATATATTTTTTAACCTCTAATGAAATATCAATGTAAAAATAAGTGACGACGAGACAAGAAGAAGAATGAAGATCGAAGAAGAAGAAGAATAAAGATCGAAGAAGAGCAGCGCGTACCTTAATGAGGGACGACGAGACACGAGTGACGATCGACGAGGAACGACGACCGACGAGAAGCGAAGACGAACGACGAACGACGAATCGACCCGGTTCTCTCTTTCTCACCCTTTCTCTTCTGTTTCTGTTCTAACCGAAGTAGATTATGGCAGATATTGATCTATTTTTACTTATTTACAAATCAACCCCAAATTTTTTTTGTAATTTCTGAAATTACCCCTGAACGTGTCCCGAAAGTTTCAATAACATGTCCTGAACGTGTCCGGATGTAAAAAAAATAAGAATAAAAATGGGACACTCTCTGGTGCGTGTCGGACACGTGCTCTCCGCGTGTCTGATGCGTGTCCGTGTCCGACACGTGTCTAACACTGGTACGGAGCCCTCGGAGAGGTGGTCGTGCTTCATAGTGTGCAGTGCAACCTCTGTATAGGATAGTATTTGAACGACGAATAGAGAAAATGAATGTTAGATCCTCAGCTGGAATGAAGGTTGGTTTAGGAATGCTTGTCGCATTGGCTTGTTGTAATGTTGCTTTGTGGGTGGAGTATAAAAGGCTAAAAGATTTGAAAGAACACGACTTGTTAAGTAATCCCGATGCCATCGCACCAATATCTGTATTTTGGCTCTCACCACAGTTTGTACTGATGGGAATCATGGACGGATTAGCCCTTTATGGTATTGAGGATTTTTTGAAGTACCAGGTTCCAGAGTCAATAAGGAAGAGGTATGCACTCGTACTCACGGAATCTGTGATTGGATGGGGAAAAATAGTGAACATAGGGTTTATTATGATATTAGACGTGGTGGTCTTGAAGTGGAGAGCTGAAGATGCAAGTTGGATTACAGACACTGTGAATCAGAGCCGTTTGGATCTTTTTTATGCTGCGTTAGTGGTCATGAGCATAGCCAATCTGTTAATTTCGCATATGTTGCTAGGTTCTACAGTTACCGTGATTTTCTAGAAGAGAAAGATGACGACGAAGAAGAAGATCCAAATAAAGAAATTAAAACTGGAAAGAAGCAAGACAAGACGGAACCCACACCTGATGAAGAAATTGAAAGAACAATAAGAGCTAGGGCTGTGCAAAATGTAACTCAATTCAGTGAAATCGAATTGATCCGTAGCAATTCACACCGTTCTAACCACTAACCGCGTAAACTTTAAAATTTGTAATCTGCCAACTAAACCGATCCTTTCCGCTATAGTTAATACATATATATTTTTTAACCTCTAATGAAATATCAATGTAGAAATAAGTGACGACGAGACATGAAGAAGAATGAAGATCGAACAAGAAGAAGAATGAAGATCGAAGAAGAGCAGCGCGTACCTTAATGAGGGACGACGAGACACGAGTGACGAGTGATGATCGACGAGGAACGACGACCGACGAGAAACGAAAATGAACGATGAACGACGAATCGATGCGGTCCTCTCTTTCTCACCCTTTCTCTTCTGTTTCTGTTCTAATCGAAGCAGATTATGGCAGATATTGATCTATTTTTACTTATTTACAAATCGACGCCAATTTTTTTTTTTACTTTCTGAAATTACCCCCGAACGTGTCCCGAAAGTTTCTATAACGTGTCCTGAACGTGTCCGGATGTAAAAAAATTAGAATAAAAATGGGACACTCTCTGGTGCGTGTCGGACACGTGCTCTCCGCGTGTCCGACGCGTGTCCGTGTCCGACACGTGCCTAACACTGGTACGGAGCCCACAGAGAGGTGGTCGTGCTTCATAGTGTGCAGTGCAACCTCTGTATAGGATAGTATTTGAACGACGAATAGAGCGAATGAATGGGAGATACTCAGCTGGAATGAAGGTTGGTTTAGGAATGCTTGCCGCTTTGCCTTGTTGTAATGTTGCTTGGTGGGTGGACTATAAAAGGCTAAAAGATTTGAAAGAACACGACTTGTTAGGTAATCCTGATGCCATTGCACCAATATCTGTATTTTGGCTGTCACCACACTTTGTACTGATGGGAATCATGGACGGATTAGCTCTTTATGGTATTGAGGGTTTTTTTAAGTATCAGGTTCCAGAGTCAATAAGGAAGAGGTATGCACTCGTACTGCTGTGATTGGATGGGGAAAAATAGTGAACATAGGGTTTATTATGATATTTGACGTGGTGGTCATGAAGTTGAGAGCTGAAGATGGTAGTTGGATTGCAGACACTGTGAATCAGAGCCGTTTGGATCTTTTTTATGCTGCGTTAGTGGTCGTGAGCATAGCCAATCTATTAATCTTTGCATATGTTGCTAGGTTCTACAGTTATCGTGATTTTCCAGAAGAGGAAGATGACGACGAAGAAGAAGATCCAAATAAAGAAATTAAAACTGGAAAGAAGCAAGACAAGATGGAACCCACACCTGATGAAGAAACTGAAAGAACAATAAGAACTAGGGTTGTGCAAAATGTAACTCAATTCAGTGAAATCGAATTGATCCGTAGCAATTCACACCGTTCTAACCACTATCCGCGTAAACTTTAAAATTTACAATCTGCCAACTAAACCGCTCAATTTCGCTATAGTTAATACATATATGTTTTTTAACCTCTAATGAAATATCAATGTAAAAATAAGTGACGACGAGAAAAGAAGAAGAATGAAGATCGAACAAGAAGAAGAATAAAGATCGAAGAAGAGCAGCGCGTACCTTAATGAGGGACGACGAGACACGAGTGACGAGTGACGATCGACGAGGAACGACGACCGACGAGAAGCGAAGACGAACGACGAACAACGAACGACGAATCGACCCGATCCTCTCTTTCTCACCCTTTCTCTTCTGTTCCTGTTCTAATCGAAGTAGATTAGGGCAAATATTGATCTATTTTTACTTATTTACAAATCAACCCCAAATTTTTTTTTGTAATTTCTGAAATTACCCCCGAACGTGTCCCGAAAGTTTCTATAACCTGTCCTGAACGTGTCCAGATGTAAAAAAAGTAAGAATAAAAATGGGACACTCTCTGGTGCGTGTCGAAAACGTGCTCTCCGCGTGTCTGACGCGTGTCCGTGTCCGACACGTGTCTAACACTGCTACGGAGCCCTCGGAGAGGTGGTCGTGCTTCATAGTGTGCAGTGAAGCCTCTGTATAGGATAGTACTTGAACGACGAATAGAGCGAATGAATGGGAGATACTCAGCTGGAATGAAGGTTGGTTTAGGAATGCTAGCTGTTTTGGGTTGTTGTAATGTTGCTTGGTGGGTGGAGTATAAAAGGCTAAAAGCTTTGAAAGAACACGACTTGTTAGGTAATCCCGATGCCATAGCACCAATATCTGTATTTTGGCTCTCTCCACAGTTTGTACTGGTGGGAATCGTGGACGGATTAGCTCTTTATGGTATTGAGGATTTTTTTAAGTATCAGGTTCCAGAGTCAATAAGGAAGAGGTATGCACTCGTGCTCACTGAAGCTTTGATTGGATGGGGAAAAATAGTGAACATAGGGTTTATTATGATATTAGACGTGGTGGTCATGAAGTTGGGAGCTGAGGATGGAAGCTGGATTGCAGACACTATGAATCAGAGCCGTTTGGATCTTTTTTATGCTGCATTAGCGGTTGTGAGCAAAGCCAATCTGTTAATCTTTGCATATGTTGCTAGGTTCTACAGTTACCGTGATTTTCCAGAAGAGGAAGATGATGACGAAGAAGAAGATCCACATAAAGAAACTAAAACTGGAAAGAAGCAAGAAGAAGAATGAAGATCGAACAAGAAGAAAGATGAAGATCGAAAAAGAGCAGCGCATACCTTAATGAGGGACGACGGGACACGAGTGACGAGTGACGATCGACGAGGAACGACGACCGACGAGAACCGAAGACGAACGACGAACGACGAACGACGAATCAACCCGATCCTCTCTTTCTCACCCTTTCTCTTCTGTTTCTGTTCTAATCGAAGTAGATTAGGGCAGATATTGATCTATTTTTACTTATTTACAAATCAACCCCAAATCTTTTTTTGTAATTTCTGAAATTACCCCCGAACGTGTCCCGAAAGTTTCTATAACGTGTCCTGAACGTGTCCGGATGTAAAAAGAATAAGAATAAAAATGGGACACTCTCTAGAGCGTGTCGGACACATGCTCTCCGCGTGTCTGATGCGTGTCCGTGTCCGACACGTGTCTAACACTGGTACGGAGCCGTCGGAGAGGTGGTCGTGCTTCATAGTGTGCAGTGCAACCTCTGTATAGGATAGTATTTGAACGACGAATAGAGCGAATGAATGGGAGATCCTCAGCTGGAATGATGGTTGGTTTGGGAATGCTTGCCGCTTTGGCTTGTTGTAATGTTGCTTTGTGGGTGGAGTATAAAAGGCTAAAAGATTTGAAAGAACACGACTTGTTAGGTAATCCCGATGCCATCACACCAATATCTGTATTTTGGCTCTCACCACAGTTTGTACTGATGGGAATCATGGACGGATTAGCTCTTTATGGTATTGAGGATTTTTTTAAGTATCAGGTTCCAGAGTCAATAAGGAAGAGGTATGCACTCGTACTCACTGAAGCTGTGATTGGATGGGGAAAAAAAGTGAACATAGGGTTTATTATGATATTAGACGTGGTGGTTATGAAGTTGAGAGCTGAAGATGCAAGTTGGATTGCAGACACTGTGAATCTGAGCCGTTTGGATCTTTTTTATGCTGCGTTAGTGGTCGTGAGCATAGCCAATCTGTTAATTTTGCATATGTTGCTAGGTTCTACAGTTACCATGATTTTCCAAAAGAGAAAGATGACGACGAAGAAGAAGATCCAAATAAAGAAATTAAAACTAGATAGAAGCAAGACAAGACGGAACCCACACCTGATGAAGAAATTGAAAGAACAATAAGAGCTAGGGCTGTGCAGAATGTCACTCAATTCAGTGAAATCGAATTGATCCGTAGCAATTCACACCGTTCTAACCACTATCCGCGTAAACTTTAAAATTTATAATCCGCCAACTAAACAGCTCCATTCCGCTATAGTTAATATATATATATATTTTAACCTCTAATGAAATATCAATGTAAAAATAAGTGACGACGAGGTAAGAAGAAGAATGAAGATCGAACAAGAAGAAGGATGAAGATCGAAGAAGAGAAGCGCGTACCTTAATGAGGGACGACGAGACACGTGTGACGAGTGACGATCGACGAGGAACGACGACCGACGAGAACCGAAGACGAACGACGAACGACCAATCGACCCGATCCTCTCTTTCTCACCCTTTCTGTTCTGTTTCTGTTCTAATCGAAGTAGATTAGGGCAGATATTGATCTATTTTTACTTATTTACAAATCAACCCCATTTTTTTTTTTTGTAATTTCTGAAATTACCCCTGAACGTGTCCCGAAAGTTTCAATAACGTGTCATGAACGTGTCCGGATGTAAAAAAAATAAGAATAAAAATGGGACACTCTCTGGTGCGTGTCGGACACGTGCTCTCCGCGTGTCCGACGCGTGTCCGTGTCCGACACGTGCCTAACACTGGTACGGAGCCAACAGAGAGGTGGTTGTGCTTCGTAGTGTGCAGTGCAACCTCTGTATAGGACAATATTTGAGCGACGAATAGAGCAAATGAATGGGAGAAACTCAGCTGGAATGAAGGTTGGTTTAGGAATGCTTGCCGTTTTGGCTTGTTGTAATGTTGCTTTTGTGGGTGGAGTATAAAAGGCTAAAAGGTTTGAAAGAACACGACTTGTTAGGTAATCCCGATGCCATTGCACCGATATCTGTATTTTGGCTCTCACCACACTTTGTACTGATGGGAATCATGGACGGATTAGCTCTTTATGGTATTGAGGATTTTTTTAAGTATCAGGTTCCAGAGTCAATAAGGAAGAAGTATGCACTCGTACTCACTGAAGCTGTGATTGGATGGGGAAAAATAGTGAACATAGGGTGTGTTTGATTGGACGGACTGGAAAAGAGGGATTAGAATCTATCGGACTTGAGTCTTGGGACT